ACAGCATCAACAAGGGTTCTAACAAGGCATCAAGAAAAGGGTCCTTACAAGATAGAAAGGGGTGCACTAGAATCGCCGAACCAGGTTCCTACAATCAGGACACGGGGCACAAAGATCAGGAACAGGGCTTCCACAAGATCAGAAAATGTCTACACAGACTCCAGGGGCGGCAAGGGCGTCTTTGTTGTGCTTATCTCGGCCGCGCCTGCCTTTTACCGTTTCCCCTTGGACCATTTCTGCCTCTTGTGACTTGGCTGTCGCCGGCGGGTTCCCACTCCACGACCAAGTACAACCGCCCCATGCCGAGGCCGATGGGAAAATCCAAACTGACCAACAAGATGCCCGGTTTCGGACCGCACCGTTCGCCGGGTACGTTTCGAGCTGAGAATCGCGGCATCACATGTTGCAGACGTGAGTGCTGACTGCGGTAGGGAGGGAGCTGGCATACAGGACACATGCCGGAGTTAGAGAAAGAAAGACCAACCAACCGGTCAGTATCACAAAAGTTATCATACTTCTAATTTTTAATTTAAGTTAATCTGTGTCACACAGGAAGACACAGTATCAAAAAAAAATTCAAAGAGACAAATTAAGTTTTTTCGCACCAACAAATAAATATTGATTTATCCCAAATTTGCAAAAATTAGAAATTGGTTTCATAGTTAATAATCAGAATAGTTCCTTCAGTTGATCAAACGTCCCCCGCCTACCAGCTCTGTCGCCCATAGAACTTCAGCCGTTCTGTGGCTGCCGGCAAAGTTGGCCGTCTTGGACGGCGTATGGTTGAACCCGCGTGGACAATACAAACCATGTCTGAACCCGCCCCCTTCAGAACAGGGTCAGCAATAAGACAAGCGGATGGCCCCCCAAAACCTGTTCTCTCTCCTCTCTCCCCCTCTCTCGTATCCGTGTCTCGTCGTCTCTCTCTCTCTGGTCTCCTCTCTGCCCTCTCTCTCTGCTCCTGCTTCGGTTGTCTCTCTGTCTCTCTCTTCATTCGGCCCTCTCGTCGTCTCTTCTCCGGTGTCGTCTCTTTCTCGTGCTTGTCTCTCTCTTCTCTCCTCTCTCTGTTCTCACTCTGGCCTCTCTCTCTCTGTTCTTGCGTCTCCTCTCTGTCCTTTTGTCTCCTCTCTCCTGTCTCTCTTCTCTTCTCTGCTCTCCTCTCTCGTCTCTCCTCTCTGCTCCTCTCTCTTCGCTTGTCTCTCTCCTCTCGGTCCCCCTCTCTCTTCTGGGTCTCTTCTTCTCTGCTTCTTCTCTGTCTCTTCTTCTCTCTCCATCCTCGGGTCTCTGGTCTCTCTCTCGTCCATCGTGTCTCTCTCTTCTCTCTGTCTTCTCTGTCTGTGGCTTCGTCTCTCTCTCTCTGGTTCTCTCTCTCTCTTGTCTCTCTCTCTGTCCTCGTCTCTCCTCTGTCTCTCTCTCTCTCTCTCTCGTGTCGTCTCTGCTGTCTGTCTCTCTTCTCTTGTCTTCTGCTGTCTCTCTGGGTCTCTCTCTCTCTCTCTGTCTGTCTCTGTGTTCTGGGTCTCTCTGTCTCTCTGTTCTCGTTCTCTCCTGTCTCTCTTCGATGTCTCGCGTCTCGTCCTCTCTGCGCTGGCGTGTCTCTCTCTGTCTGCTCTTGTCTCTCTGCTCTGGTGCTCTCTGTGTCTCTCTCTGCTCTCTCCTGTTCTTTCCTCTCTCTTCTGTTCTCTCTCGTCTCTGCTCTGTCTCTGTCTCTCTCTCTCTGTCCCCCTCTCTTCTCTCTGTCTCTCTCTCTCTGTCCTCTCATCTCTCTCTCTCTCTCTCTGCTCTCTGCTGTCTTTCTCTCTCTCTCCTGCTGTCTTCTCCTCTCTGCTCTGTCGGTCGTCCTCTCGTGTCTCGTCTCTCTCTGTCTCTCTCTTCCTTCTCTCTGTCTCTCTCTGTCGTCCTCTCTCTCTGTCTCTGTCTCTCTCTCTCTTGTGCTCTCTTCTCTCTCTCCTGTCTCTCTCTCTCTGTCTCTGTCGTGGTTTGTCTCTGTCTCTCTCCTTCGCTCTGGTGCTCTTCTCGTCTCTCTGTGGTTCTCTCTGTCTCTGTCTGTCTCTCTGGGTCTGTCTCTCGTGTGCTCGTCTCTCTCGTTCTGCTCGTCTCTGTCTCCTGCTCTCTGTCTCTCTCGTCTTCTCTCTCTGTCGGTATCTCTCTGTCTCTCTCTCTCCGGGGGTTCTCTCCTTCTCTCGTGTCCCGCGCCCTCTCTCTCGGTGTCTCCTCTCTCTCTCTCTCTCTTCTGGTTTCTCGCGTGCTGGTGGTCTCTCTCGTGGTTCTCATCCCTCTGCTCTCTCTCTGTCTTCTCGTCTTCTCTCTGTCTCTCGTCTCTCTCTCTCTCGGCTTCGGTGTCTCTCTGCGGGTGCTTGTGCGGTGTGCTGCTGCTGCGGGGGGGGGGCGGTGGGTCGTCCTCCTCTCTCTCTCGTGTGTCGTGTGGTCTCTCTCTTGTCTCTTCTCTGTCTCGTCTGTCTGGCTCGTCCTCTTCCTCTCTCTCTCCTGCTGCGTGTCTCTCTCTCTGTCTCTCGCGCTCTCTGTCGTCCTGCTCTAGCTGTTTCGCCCTCTCTTCTGTGCTCATGCTCTTTCGTCTCATCTGTCTCTCGTGCTCTCTCGTCTCTCTCTCTCTCTGCTCTCTCTGCTCTCTCGTCTTCTCTGCGGTGGTCTCTCTCTCTCTCTGTTCTCTCTGCTCGGTCTCTCTCTCTCTCTCTGTCTCTGTCCTCCTCTGTCTCCATCTCTGGTACTCCCCTCGCTCTCTCTCTCTGTCTCGTCTCTCTTCTTCTCTCTCTCCTCGGCGTGTCTCTCTCTCTCTGTCGTCTTCATCTCTCTCTTCTGTCTCTCTCTCTGTCTCTTGATGGTCTGGCTCTCGGCGGATGGGTGCGTCGTCTCTGGTGCGTCTCCTCTCTCTTCTCGGGTGTAGGGTGTGCATTCTCTGTCTCTGTCTCGTGTCTCGTCGTGTCTCCGTGGCTCTCGGTCTCTCAGTGTCTCCTCTCGTTGTCTCTCTCGTCTCTCTCTCTCTCTGTCTCTGTCTCTCTCGGTCGGGTGGTCTCTCTGGTCTCTGCTCTCTTTCTCTCTGTCTTCCATTCTCTGTCTCGTGTCTGTAGTCGTCTGTCGTCTCTCTGTTCTGTCTCTCTTGTCTCTCGGTCCGTGGTGCTTCTGCTCTCGCTTGCTCTCTCTGTCTCTCTCTCTAGGCGGTGGTCCCGGCCTGCTCTCGTGTCTCTCTCTCTCTGGTGCCCCTGCTTCTCTCTTCCTGGTGGTGGTCCCTGCGCCTCTCTCTCTCCGTCTCCTCTCTCTCTACGCTCTCTCTTCGTTCGTCTCTCGTGGTCTCTCTCGGTGCGTCGTCTCGCTCTCTCGGTCGGATGTCTCTGTCGTCGTCTCTTGTCTCTCTCTGTCTGTCTCTCATGTGCGTTCTCTCTCGCGTCGGTCTCTCTCTCTTGTCTCTCTGCTCTTCGGTCCCCCGTTTCCGCTTTTTGGTCGGTCTTCTTCTCTCTCGCTGCTGCGTCACTGCTCCTGGGTCTCTTCTCGTTTCGGTGGTCTCTCTCTCGTCTCCTCTCTTATCTGTCTCTCGTGGTCTCTTCTGTCTCTCTCTGTCTCTCTTGGTGTCTCTCTTCTCTGTCTCTCTCTCGGTCTCTCTCGTGGGTCTGCGTCTCTGCGGGTGTTGCTCTGTCTCTCGGTCTCTCTCTCTCTCTGCTCTCTCTGTCCCCCTCTCTCCTTCTTGTCTCGTCTCCTTGTCTCTGCTCTCTGTCTCGTGTCTGTCTGTCGTCTGTCTCTCTCTCTCTCTCGTGTCTCTGTCTCTCTCTCGGTCTCTCTCTCTTCTCTCGTGTGCTTCTCGTCGTGCTCTCTCTCTCCTTGCTCGGGTCTGCTCTCTCAGAGGGGTGGGAAGTTGCTCCATGGCGACCCAGGTGGCGCTGCAGAGATCGTCATCTCCAGTTGGCCAGGTTCAGTCGGGACGAATGGATGCAGGGGTGACCTAGTAGGCTGTGTTGTAATTATTATCAGGAGTCAATAAAAACAATAATCAGCATAAGTGTAATAGTAACTTTAAAATGAATATGTTGATTATTGATCGCGTGTAGTTGATCTCGATGTATTGATTAAGCTCCTGGTGCATCTCGGGTGAGCCAAGTGGTGCGGATCAATATGCTTCCGCGTGGCAGCCGTGCTGCGAGCCCGTCTCGAGTGCTTCCTTGCCGAGCCTGCAGTCAGTAGGCGTGGCCGCTCAGTCATGTGTCAGTACGGCAGCCATCAGCAGAGGCACGAGGCAGAGCCGGCTTCTCATTGGATGGATTTATTGTTCTGTGACATCAGGGTGTGTTGTCTGAGCTTAAACACAGGAAGCAAAGACTTATATCACGTGTACAGACACACAAGCTTTATTAACACTGTACAAACAGGGCAGGCAGACTTTGATTGAACACGTGCTTACAGAACGATCAGCAAGCTGTTTATTGAAGCACTAGGTACACACAGCACAACTTTATAGTTCACGTGTACAAACACAGAGACTTTATTAACACTGTACAAACGACAGACTTTATTATCGGACTGTACAAACAGCACAACTTTATGAAACACGTGTACCAAACACCAACTTTATGATATCAGCTGTACAAACCACAACTTTATTAACACTGTACAGAACACAACTTTCATTAAGAGGTGACAGAGATACAACTGTTATTAGACCAGCTGTACCGAGGGAAGGCGAGAACGTTATTAACACGGTGACGAGAGACGAGGACTTTATTAACACGTGCGTGGACAAACACAACTTTAGTGGACCAGCGGGTAGCAAAGGCACACCCCTTTATGTACACTGTACAAACACAACTTTATTAACACTGTACAAACACAACTTTATTAACACTGTACAAACACAACTTTCTGTGTGTTGTAGGTGGGACATGATGGTCTTCTTCATGTGTCACTGTCTCGCCTGGTTTATATCCGACTACATCCAGCTGACTGGAGTCCAGGTACGACTCAATCTCATGCTTTTACTTTTACACTTTTACTTACTATTTTTGACTTCAGGCTTTTATTTTGTAAGGGTGTTTTTAAGCTAAATGAGAAGTGTTTTATTTTGTACTTTATATTTTATGCGTGTGAACTGTTAGAACATAAAAGAATTTGAACAGTTGTGATTGATTATTGATCGCTGACGTCACCTCGCAGGGCGGCCCGCTGTGCTTCTCCAAGCTGGACTTCGCGGTGGCGTGGTTCATCAGGGAGTCGATGGCGGTGCAGATCTTCCTGTCGGCTCTGTGGGACCCGACCATCAGCTGGAGGACCGGACGCTACCGACTGCGCTGCGGCGGCACCGCAGAGGAGATCCTCGACGTCTAGTTACTACGGCAACCGGAGGAGATGAGAGAAAGAGACTGACGTTTATTTGTTTTTGTTTTTTATGATAAAAAACTGAAGAGAGAAAGAGAGTGTGTGTGTGTGTGTGTGTGTGTGTGTGTGTGTGTTTTAACTATTTATGTTCCTTTTTGGTGCTAAAACTGAACGATGCCAGAACAAGCCAATGAGAGTGCAAGAAAAACAAAACAAACGAAAAAAGGATAAACGGGAGGGAGTGAAGCATCGCACTGAATAAAACCAATCAGCCAATCAGGAGAGAGGAGGAAGGATTCTCTCTTCTCATTGGCTGATTTCTGAAGTGTTTGTATGGAAGGAAAAGAGAGCTTGAATAATCGAACCACAGTTTATAGTATTTATTTGGTGTACAGTGTTCCCCTCAGAAATACAGCCTGTGGTTAAATTCCACCTTCAGCTTCCATAGGTTCTGAGAAAAAATTCTGTTTTGGCCCAAAAAAACAAAACTAAGAGCTGCGTGCAGCAAAGGAAACAAAGCAGAGACATTTTCTGTCTATGAATCCATGTGGTGTAATTATTCTGATTATGAGGAAATGAGCACAGGAACTGTTTCAGGATTTCAGGAAGTGCAGCTGCGCCTTTAACGGGAAGAACCAGGAACTAAAGAAAACTTCCTGCTACGAGAAGAATGTGAGCGTTTGTGTCACCTGAATAAAATGACAGATTGATCTACTCAACTAGAGGGAGAAACTACGGTGGCTGTGAAAGGTCCTATTTAGAGCCAGTGTTGGGTTTGTCCTTTCTGGGCTACTGTACAAACATGGTTCAACATGGCGGACTCCGCCGGCAGAGGCAAACACACAATGATTGTTATTGTCAGCTGATTAAACCTATAGATATTAATGTGATATGACTGTAATATAACAGTATCACAGTTATATCACAGTCATGTGACACTGGAGCTTTAATCATAAGTCCTGAGAGCTGCTGAAGAGACTTCCTGTTTACTTCCTACTGAACTCTATCAGAAGAAAATGTCTCTGTTTGTTCCTCTGTTGAGTGCAGATATTAACCTGTATAATTGATCATCAATATGAAGGCTATTGATTGGCCCAGCTGTGAGTGAAAAACAAATGTGAATACAATCAGCCAATCAGGAGAGAGTGAATTCTGTCTGTTCGGCTGATTTTTGTTGAGTTCAGAATTTTTTTTGTAATTCGGTCGTCGGAACGTCGTAATCTTTACGAAACCATCTGAGAATTAGGAAAAAAAACTGTTATTTATTATTTTGTCATTACGGAATCAATATCTCATCCTGAAATAAAATCTTTAGTTTATTTGAATTATAAAATGGATGAAAAATAAAATCTGTTTATGACATTGTTTATTTTTACTTGAACACGTCTCTTCAGTTCCTGCGGGAAGAAACGTTAACTCAGTCTGCTCGACGACGTAATTCAGTCCGATCACAGCCGCCCTCGGCTCCGAATCTACAGGTACCGGCCCCGAGTCGGACCTCAACAAGCAGTCATTGAAACGAAGAAGGTGTAATTATATTAACATCAGTGTGTCCTTGTTACCAACTCACATTGACAACAGGAAGTCTTCATCACAAAACTGTCTTAAGTTATTTTCTTCAGTGGATGCGTTTCTGTAGCGAAATTAAATGTTGAGTTGCCATGGTAACTGTGACAAAACCCGAAACACTCGGCCAATGAACGGAGAGAATTCATGTTTGTTTGAGAATCTGTTTTTCTTTTTTACGTTTTTTTATTAAACTTTTACCCTGAAAAACCCTTTTACCCTGAGCTTCCTCCAGCAGGATTCAGCACTGATGAGCTCCAGTATTCTGCTCAACGGTCGACACATTTCACCCCAAACCTCAAACCAACACATCAGACACAGTAAACAGTAAACAGGACCAAATGAAAAAAAATCCACATTTCTGAACTTTTGTTTTGTTTTGCAGTCGTTAGAGAGAGTGTGTGTGAGTGTGTGTGTGTGTGTGTGTGTGTTTTTTAAAACCATGTTGCTTTGCTGTTAGCTGTTAGCCTCATTGGGTTCGGTTGATGACATCAGCTTCAGTCGGACGAACCCGGCGCTGTCGTCCAATAGGATCGGTGGGATCACGTTTGTTTATAGCTGTTGTTTTTTTAATTAGTCTGCTGTAGTCTGCGAAACGACCAATCACAGTGAAGGATTGTGTCAACAGGAACAATAAAGTTTTATCCTTTCAAAAGCTGAACTTTAATGTGTTGTTTGTTGAAAATGTGCCACAATGTGATTGGCTGAGAGGATGCAGAGAGGACAGCCATTGGTTGTCAGATGATTTATTTATTCAGTGATTTCATGCTACAACTTCCTGTCACACTTTCAGAATAAATCAAAATTCAACAAACATTTTGTTTCTGAATCAAGCACAGATAAAAGAACCCCCCCCCCCCC